CAAAGGCAGTAGACTGTTCATACCATACCCTTTAGGTGTCTAACACATTCTTTAGCACATACAATACAAAATTTGTACCTCGCTAGGGTTGGTCAGTGGCCAGAACTCATGAACCTCACTAGGAGGTCAAAAGATCAACTCCCTCCTTTCCCCTCCAAATTTACCCCGAAAAAAAATTGCATACGTTCCATGACATCGGCCAAAATCATCCATTATGGTCAACTTGCAGGAATTATATGAATGCATTAGTACATACGATCTACAATGTAGAGATGGCATATGCATGGTGCATGACTCACTTATTTAAGAAAGAAAATTTTATGGATTAAATTACTACGAAACCAATTGTATTAGGGTAAATTTCACTTACCTCCCCTGAGGTTATGACAATTGTAGATACCTCCTCCAAGCTTTTGAAACGACAATGACATCTGCTCTACTTTGGAATAGTGTTTCAGATTCTTCCCTGTAGACACCCTATTTTTGACCGGCCTTAAGACTTGGGCGCTCCGTGAAGAGCTCTCGATGATGAAAACAGAGACCGCTCCAAGCAACAAGCCAGGGATGAAGCAAGACAAACCTTTCTATACCCGTTTTGGCCAAAGAGTTTTTCAGATCTTCAAAACATATTTTCAAGATGTTTTTAAGGCATGTGATACCTTTTCATTCATTTTGGCCATTCTTGGCGTTGTGTTTTCCAAAATGATTGATCTATTTTTCAGAAAAGAGAACTTGAAAAGCTATAATGAATGATAAGATAAGGGAAACCTTCTACGAATTTTGGCCGGACAAGACTTGCACAGCCGAACAATTTTTGATAGCGAGATGGACAACTTTGAGATGGGCGAGCACGTCCGAACAAGTTATGTTCGAGTGAGCACGCCCAAATCGTTTTTGTCCCGCCAAACAAATTTTGGAAGGAAAACGACGGACAACAAATGGACGCCTGAACAAGTCTTCTCCGGCGAAAGCTATTGACATCAACCAAACAGGCTTTCATGAGGTGTCCCTAGCATCTCGGAATATGTCATCCGAATCCTTAGGGATCAAATGGCATATTCCAAGCTCCCCAAGCCTATTTAAACCCCTCATTTTAGAGAATTGGGGGCTGGCTCTAATTTTCTATTTCACAATTCCTAGTTCTAAACTCCTAATTCTATTCTCTAATTAAATTAGTTAATTAGGTAATTAATTAATCAATTAGAGTGAGAGTTGGTGAGATTTGGACATTGATATTCATACACTTGGACTATCTTCATCATCCCTTTGCTTGGAGAGTTGGAGCTAGAGATCTTTGCTGGCCAGAGGGAGCTCGAATTGGAGTTTGTGACCAACTTGAGCTCTATCTTCACTAGCTTAGAGGTAATCCCTACTTCCATCCATGGCTTTCTCGCAATATTCTATCTCCGCTACTTTTTTTTTATTATTGCTGGAGTTCTCTTGAGATCACTGAGATCATTATTGTCGAGTTGTTGATAACTTAGTTGAATTTTCTCTTCTCTCCCTTTTTTGTAGTTGGTAGAGCCCTGTATATTGACTTCGGCCAAGTCTAAATTGCTTTTTTCTGATTTTATTATGGGTTAGAAGCCCAGACATGGTTTCTTCTATAAGAAGGGACCGGATCTCCCCTTTTGAACCTCTTTTACATGAATTTGAGTAGTTAAACTCATCTTCATGAGTAGGAGGAGAACCTCTTGGTCTGTGTTATGCTAATTAATCTTAACCATGCTTATAATTATGAGCTTGATATGATTTTGAATGTTAATTATATGATTATATGCGTTTGTGAAATTCTATCTGTTCACCGAAGAAAGATCTGTTTGATTTTCTGTTATAAAATTTAAATTAGGGGCCGTAGAGACGTCAGAAACCAAAATTTATTGTACCATCATAATTAGAAAAATTTTAGAGCCTATGATAAAATTTAATTAGAAATTGATTCGGATCAGAATAATTAGATTAAATTAAATGAGTAATTATCTTATGTATGATTAGGAGACTTAATCCAAGATTTGTGTTATAAGCTAATCACCACTATATATATATGGAGACATGAGATGAAACTCATCTTCCTTGAGCTCAAATCAGCCAAGAAGAATATAGAGGGGGAGAGACAATTAGAGAGAGAGAGAGAACACAAAATTGAAGACTTAGACTCAAAGCTTGGAGAATTGAAGGAGAATTGGAAAATTGAGCTAGAATACACTTAGATTCAAGCTATAGGTATGATTGTTAACCTTGATTCTTGTAATAAGAATATGTAGAAGTTGAATTCACCTAATTCTTGAGTTCATGTGAATGTAATTGTACAAAGAAAGTATGGGTATGTTTGGTTTGCATTTGGGAGATGAGTTTTAGAAAAAAAAATTCTAAAAAATTGTTTGGTTTGAGTTTTTCTCAAAAAATTTTCAAAATCACTTTCTCTCTCTTACACATCAATCAATCACTTTTTCTCTCTCCTCTCTCCTTCTCAATCACTTTTTCTCTCACACACATCTACTCAAATTCTCCCAAAATATCAAATCATCCCAAACTCCCAAAAAAACAACTCTCCCAAAATACACAAC